GTACTCCTATATTCACTCTAAACTATGATCAGTCAAATACGGTTTGTTCATTTTCTCCCCTTTCTTTACAATTCTTCCATTCAAATTTTAGCTCCTTCACAAATATCTTTTCTTCCATGTCAAGCTTCCACTCTTCTCAAATCAACATTTACAACACATTTCTCCATATCACTTCCGACCTCTTCCTCCAGGAAGGTCAGAATTTCTCCATAAAGTCACCGGACTTGGGACAGTCTTTCCTGGATCTCGCAATTTCCTTTCTACTAATTTTTGTCATTATTCTTTAGTAAATCTTCAGTTCCTATAAACCATATCAAAACCACACATCATTCTTTCTTCCATGTCTTACCGTTCTTGCCTTTTAAAAAATGTGAGATACTGTACAACAGAGACCTAAGAATTTTGCAGAAATAAACAACAATTTTTCCTCACATGAAAAATACTTGCTCTGCAGCAGAACAGTGCCAGGAAGGTACACACGCTACAAAGGCCTGGAAGACTGAGGAAAATAGGTAGAACAATTGCAGAAATCTGACAAAAAAGAAAGTGATTAATCTTAAACTTATGAATCTACCAGTAATGGTATATATTTGAGCAGAGCCGTACTGAAACGTGGATCTTTAAAAAGAAATTGCTTCTCTTTCTATAAAGAGATCAGAAAGAGAACGGTCACTGGTAAGCATAATAGGTTACCATAAACAAGATAAATTATCCCTGGAGCATATAAATGTTATATTAAATATATATGTCAGCCTGAGCCTTTGAAGATTATTGTGTTGCCTAAAAAGGAGTTTTTACAGTTGTGCAATTTGAAGTAGAATAAAAATTAAGTTGAACGTGACCGTTACAAAAAACAAAACCTTTCATCTGGAATCTGTGGAAGCAAAACTAACGTAAACTTCAGCAGCAGCAGCAAGCAAGCTTTCCAAAAGTTTTACTCCCTCTTCCCCACAGGGAAAGGCTGTGTAATTAGTTGAGCTTTATGGAGTATTACTCGACTTGCATTAGATATTATAAGCGTGAACAAAACCTGGGCCTTTCAGCTTAAGAAAAAGTCCACTCCAAAAATGGGATTTTGCTCTAACAAACATGGTGGTGAAAACCTGCTCTCTAGTTCCTCAGCTATACTGGAAAGGCAATAATCTTAGCTGCCTGGTGGCTAACAAGCCTAGGGGGAAAATAAAAATAAAAATAATTTAAAAAAAAACACAAAAACCACAAAGGGCAAGAAGAGACAGAGGAAAGTGTAAAAAAGGACAAACAAAATATGAGACACTTAGGACGATAAAAGAAGAAATAAAAAAAAGACAAAATACACACACCATGCACACAAGTTGGTGAAAAAGTAAAGAGGTTAAATAAAAATAGATTCAATGTAAGGACAGAAGAGAGCTGAAAACTTTAAATGCTAATGAGAAGAGCTGATCCAAAAAGAAAAAAAAACTGGTAATGAGACATTAAAAAAACCTGCTAACGTAAAAACAGAAGAGAGACTAACCAGGGATGAAAGCAAGAGCAGTAATCAACCAAACAAAATCTTCAGTTAATTGTAATGCCATGCAAAAAAGAAAAAAGCAGTGATCTGTATTTCTAATTACTCTTTGTAGCCAAAGGCATTATAAAGACAAAAGTAATCAAGTTTTTGGTTCCAAGAAACCAATGAAGACAAAAAACAAAATAAAATCAATATAAATCAGCAAAAGGAAGAAAAACAATAATTCTCTTAGTTCAGTGTTTTTGAATAAAAAAAAACCAACATACCTTCAGGGAACCTGCTGATTTTTATGTCAGCTTCCCACACTAAACTCACTTTTCCATGTACTAACCTGAGGAGGAAAGTCCCAACGACCTTCCTGATTCCACAGACACTGTGCAGATGGGAACTGTCCTAATGGCAGCAGTAACGGAGCACAAACTACAGGGACTCTAAAGGTACCTGGTGTCAAATTCTAGAGCATCGGCACTACCCGATATTGCGGCAGCCTGTATTGTAATCTACCATCAGTTTTGACATTTCCATTCCTACCTTCTTGTCTTACCAAACAGTCATTTATCTTCAATAAACCACCACCTAAATAGGTACCTCATTTCATGTTTGAGGGTAGTAGAAATCACAACTGACAGCACGTGATTTCCATCGTATCTCAGTTTCCATGTTCTTACGTAAAGGCTTTAGACAGCACATGTTTGAGCAAGAACATAACCTTCCTTCACACTGGACAGACAACTGTTTCTGCCAGCTGGCCATGACAGTACAGCTACCACGAGTTGTTTTAAACACCCCAATATTTGAAATCTCTTTACAAGCTTGGTGGTCCTCCTCATGGAAGATGATGGAAATTACCTTATTTTAGATGCTTTTCTTAACACAAGGCATGAATTTGGAACTCACAAAGAGTAAGAAACCTGGGTGCTCTTCATGTTATGCCTCTTTTCCATAAACAATAAACTGCGTGAAGGTTTCGATCCCTCCTCCTTTACATCCAGGTTCAAAAGTAAACAAGGGACATTTGTGTCCGCTTTTTACAACAAAAAACGTTTGACCCCACACAGACCTGCAGGGGGATACCTGCATACACAGGCTCAAAGCCTCGCCACACATCACTTCATAAAACACCTCAAAACATACTGCAATACGTACAACATTTGTGCCCCTAGAGCTTCTGTGCTCGAGTACCCTTTGGCTTTTTATAGCTAAGCACTAGTGTTCAAAGGCTTCTCACTACGGCACACTGTGACGTCCTCCTTACCCTTCTAGCTGTGCAGCACACCTGGGCTTAATGCAGGCCAACTTCTCCCCAGTTCTAGTGGAAATAACATCAAATTTCTCAAGGAGTAAAGAAGATAGTTCACTTAGCACAGCCCTTGTTTCTTTTACGTGCCTTTTCTGTGTCACTTCCACTTGCCAAGCATGCATACTGGAACACATCTAAACACGGATACGCAGTCAAACTTGTCGGAATTCCTGAATCTGTAACTCAGATTAGCCAGACCATCCCTTTGATTGGATAAAGCATAAAAGCAATATAAAACCACAGGGAATTCAGCCTATTGATGATCGGATTCCAGGTCCAACAGCCTGGACCCACCTCCTGCCCTTTCGAATTTCCATCCATAAGAGACCTTCCAGTGGAACCTGTACTCCCTCTGATGGTGGTTTCTTTCACCACATCTCGCTCAGGTTTAGGAGCCTCCAATGGGTTCTGATCCGCATTCAGCCACCTGCCATCCCAGCCACTGTTGCCACTCAAACAGTGGTACCAACGTTACCAAAACTAAGGTCTTTCTAAGGAAAAGGGTGGGTTGTTGTCATTAACATAACCCAAACACCAGATGGCCTCTTACATTACATTTCCTCAAGATCCACAAAACTACATAAGCTTCTTCACTCAGCCATACTAAACTTTCTGATCATCCTTATTAAATATATACTTGTTATAACAAATGGTTTTGAGAAAAGATGATCCTTTCTGTAGCCCCGTTTTCTGTGTAACTTCCATTGGTATGCTTGCCAGGCTTTCCAGTAGTTTGTCTGTTGTTGCTTCTAAAACACAGCAACATACATACGTGTTTTCTTCTCAATGTGGAGTAAAAACATCTTTTATCAATACAATCATCCAGCAGCTCTTCATTTTCATTATATTCCTTAACACAGGCAAACATTAGCAGCGTTTCATTTATTAAGGAGTGAACTAACAAAAGAACTCTTCATTATTCTATTTTCAAGCCTCTTGTACCTTTGTCCAATGCTTTTTAAATCAAATGCTTATGATGATAATTAACAATTTCTGGCTTCAGAGGCTGAAAAGAGACCAGTAATGAAGATCAGATTACATTCACAGTAAAATACACAACATTTACCCAAATTCCATTGTTCTTCTCCTGTAGAAAATGTGAAATTGCAGGTATTATTAGTGCACTAATATTTGTTAAGAACCTCCGGTGAAGGGATTATCATTATCTACTTTAGTAATATCGGATTTTTGTACTACAGAGGAAATGAACAAAGGACAATAAAAGAACATGCATAATAGTAACTTGTACTGCTCTCTGCAGTCACTGTGTACAGAAAGGTAACCTCGGTTATCTGTTAACAGCTCGCTTACAAGGTCAGCTACTAAACCTGAAACCAGCCCTTTTAGTTTCTAAAAGGACACACAGATTTTTCTCTCAAAAATTCCCTGAAATCCACAAAAATACCAGTAGAGTAATAAATGACACAAACTTCTGTCACACTGTGTAAATAAAACATCCTACAAAAGATGTGTTCATCAGAAATAAGGGCTGATACTAGTACAATCTTCCACAGCTGATTCTTGGAAAACTTGCTGTGAACTGTCTGCACCATATTTGGAAGTGGGCAAAACCCCCACTTTAGACAATTTTTTGCATTGAAAATACAACTAAGAAAGGGAGAACAGTTACTTGAAAAATACGAAAAAAGAGGAGATAAGCACCAGCAACAAAGCACCAGTTTTCTAGCTGTTACAATCACTACACAAAGATAGGTTGGATTTGATTTCAAATACCGTGACTTATTGACACCAGCAGCTCCTTTGAAATCCTAAAAGATTACAGCATACCCTTAAAAGGGAACTTTTTCTTCATAGATACCAGAAATTTTAAATTGCCTTTACGAACAGTTACCTCTAAAATTTGTTATTTAGACAAAAAAAAAAAAAGAGATCATGCACTACACTATATAACTTACAGGTAATGCTTAAGATGAAATGACCACTTCACAACATACTGTTAACTGCTCGCACACAACTGTCCCAAAGATTTCAGTATACAACTGTCCATCAGAGAAAAGATTTCTTCTTTGAAGCCAGAAGTAACAGAATACTTCTCTAGGAAGAACAGTTAAGACTGAAAATTGTAGGGTAAAATCATACTTTTTCCTTTAAGAATAACCTAGAACATACCATAGCATCACAGCAATTATTCAAGCAACACACGTGTGTGTGCCTATATATATATATATAAAAATATGCTCTTACCAAATGTGTGAGTGTCATGGTCCTGATGACTTTCTCCTGACAAGGCCGTCATTTTTTTATGAGCATCAACCCACCATGGTTTGTACTCTAAGACATGCTGAATAGCTTCATCTTCAAAAAAATCAGCTCTAGGAAAAAAAAAAGGAGTCATATGCTATTTATTTCAGTTGATAGTGGGCATATTTTGATGCGCACATAGTAACTTGTACTGCTCTCTGCAGTCACTGAGTACAGAAAGGTAATCTCAGTTACCTGTTAACAGTACTCTTAAAAGGTCAGCTACTAAGCCTGAAACCAGCCCTTTTAGTTTCTAAAAGGAAACACAGATTTTCCTTTCAAAAATTCTCCAAGACCCATAAAATTAGCAGTAGAGCAATAAACACATAGAATACACCTGACTTGGCTCCTGGCTATTTTCCATACATTAGAAATACAACAAACCTGACCAATATCTGTTCTGTCACTTAAAACCAGGAAATTACTAAAAGCATAAACAACATTCTCTTATCTTGCAGTCCCCCTTTACTTCACTCACACACTGACAGATTTGTTGATGCCTTCCTTCAGTGCCTTTGCACAGTACGTTGAAGATATCGGGGCCGGTGTACATCTTCCTCAAAGGCAACAGAACACCTCTGTCTGCCACCGTTCCCCCCAGAGCTGTCCTCCTCAGCGGGGTACACAGGAAAACAACTTTTGTTGAAGAAAGGTCAATATCATCTGTTCTGAAGCATCCATAACACAGCCATCATACAAGACAGCAGTTGTGGCTCATCTACCAGGCTAGAAATTAGGGTCTAAAATGGAAACTTAGAATTAACAGTAATTTGCATCACATTAGAGGTTACGAACTACTTCAGTTCTAGTGAAACGAACTTCCAAGTGATGTTTCAAGAAAGCTGTTCTAATTTCTGTGTCCTACAGAAACACACACAGCTGCCTCTGGAACATCTGACTAGGGAAAAATTCCAAGTTTGGAAAGGTACCTTCTGCAACAACTCAAAGTGGGTTAAGCCTACCTCTCCCTGACAAAACATACCATCAGTACTAATTCTCCCTACTGGGGACTACGCTCTTCTCCCTCCAGATCAATCTTGCAGAAATCATTGTATTAACAGATCTCATGGCATCAATTTAGTCTACTTATCTGGAAGTTTCAGAACATAACCTGATCTGAAATACTCCACCTTGAAAGGCACAAAGAATCATTTCCACCTTCACTAGATTGGATGAAGAAGCACAAAGAAACAAAAAGTCTTGTTTGGAACTTTTCCTCATTGTGCTGTGAAAAAGGTTTCATGTGACAAAGGCAAAAAACAAAGCGGCCTAGGCAAAAACTTCGTAACTTCAAAAACCTCAAATTTACTTCCTCATACACCAGGATGGTTCAGCAATCCTTGTTTCACAAGGGGAAAACAAAGTTTTGACACCTACAACCCAGAATGCTGGCAGGGATTGGCCACTCAGCTGCGGAAAAGATGACCTATGCAACAGTTCACAGCGGACCCTGCTTGACTACAGACTTAAGCAGCAACTAAACAGTAAAGTAACCCCAAAACAGATAAGCAATGTCTTGTGTCAGTGCCACTCTGAAGAACTCCCTCGAAGGCCTGCTGTGATGAGACAAAGAAACAGACAAATAAAAAGTGAAGCTATTCTTTCCAAAAGTGATCTCAAAACCAACTGTTTATGAAAAAAAAGTGAATATATGTCAACCAAGATACTTCACTTGGCCAGGTGAAGTAAACCAATACTCACAGGTAATGATCAGGGTCAAACTTCGCAGCCTCAGCTGCCAGGCGTTTCCTCCTGCGTTCATCTACAGGAGTTTGGTCTGGATCCTTAATGTCAATAACATCACTGAGTTCATCCTGCAAATGGAACAAAAGTTGTATGACCAACAGATTATATGACAAATTGACAGGCAAGATTTGTTTACTACGAGTTTAGGATGGATACTTATCAGCACTACGCTGAAATCCCTAGTTGTTCTTCAACCTCCCTTTCAAATCTTCCAAATTCAGGCTCCATTGTGCAAATAAAATTCCAAGGAAACTGAAATATTTGAGCTCCTTAGAATTCATGATACTATAAAGACTATTCAGGCTGCTTTATCATAAGGCAGGCAGGTTATTTCACATAACGATAAAATTTGCAACATTTAACAAAAGAACACAACTAAAAAGAAAAGATAAAAACCATAAATACTGTTCTTGTGACTTTTGAGATTACCCTCACACTTTGCAGTGGTCATACATCAATTACTGGGCAATTGCAGGGCCCTTTTAAGCCACAAGCAGTGGTACATTAATGCTGATGGGAAATGTACTTCACAAATTTCATGGTAATAAACCAGCGTATATGTCCTAACAGAATGTAAATACTTTCTCCATAAATAGCAATCCTTCTGCTCCAAACCCTGAAAATACTACAATTCATGCAATAATGAGTTGCAGAGTTGCATAATTAAGTTGCTTTAAACAGCTCAACTTAAATTGCTTAGAGTAAGAATGCTACAAAAAATTAAGTTATCACCTACTATTTTAATAAGAGTTCTGTATACTACGAATAGTAGTACATTAGCTGGCAGGCTACAGGTTGTAGACTATCTTCACTCTATGAACACACAAGAGCAAAGTAACTGCATTTTAAAGCTCCTATCCTACCAATTAATCTACAAAAACAAATTACAGTGCACTGCATAACCCCAGCAAAGCCCACGGATACCAGGCGGGCAGACATCTTGAAGAGTGCACACTTCAAAAGTGATTGTCTTGTGAGAAAGTGATGTCTAAAATAAAAAATACAAAGAGAAAGTTACAATGACTTTCACAATGAAAAAAAAATTAATGCAACAACCATACCAGGACCTATAGATTAGCCAGCTTTAGTTTGGGTTGGTTTGGGTTGGGTTTTGTTTTGGTGTTTGGGGTTTGGTTTGTTTTTTTTTTTTTTTTGAGTAATTTCTTTTTAATTTAAAAATAAACTAAAATTCACGGCATCTGAAATATACTGTCCATTGATGTTAAACGTCTGAAGTCAGAACAGAAGGCAATACCAAATACAATGCAAAAGTGTTAACAGCAGACTGTTAACAGCCTGTAGGCTCTTTGCAGCTTGCCAGGACTATTCACCCAGCACGTGGCCTCCTTCCTACAGCCCTTCTCCATGCCTTCCCAGGCTAGCTGAACCGTGCTGGTGACAGCAGCCCACTTCCAGAGGCCATTTTCATCAAGGAACCCATTCAGCCCTTTCCTCCAACACTGAAAATACTGCAGAGATAATCGGCGTGTTGACTCCACTACACAACTAATTTAGTCTCAACCACCCCTACTCCTGCAGGAACAAGGGTCTGTCTCTACTACTACATGCAAAAGCAGAGCATTCTCAGTCACAGGATGGGATAACAGAGAACAGTTACCTAATGATCCCCTCTGGGCTATGGAATGAGCCAGGAAGCCTACCCAACCAGAAAGTTACCCAGAATTTTTAGGATAGGAAAAGACAAAAATGCATCTACCTGCAGCCGCTGGAACACGCCTGACCGCAAATTCCCAAACCCGTAACGGTACTGTAGTGGTAGAGTGCCTTCTGCACTTTCTTTGTAAGGGGTCTGCTCTATTTCCCAATCAAATTCTTCTTCTTCCTCCTCCTCAGACAACTCAGCAGAGGCAGCTGTTTATATTGCACGGTCAGAGAAAGAAAATTATTACGTAGAATACACATATGATTTAATAGAAAGGCAAACACGGATAACACAATAAGCCTCTCATTTTACTGCATCTTTTAAGAAATCTTATACAACACTGTCTCATACAGGCAGACGCTGACATCAGTAATCCATAGGTCCGGCTCCAAATTCTCCAGCCTTCAAAAATGAAGACCAGGAACACTGAAGTTTTTTAGTACACTCCCTCAAAGACTGAAATAACTGTTCCACTCATTTCAGCAAGATCAGAATTTGATGCTAAGAGAACCCTGACAGGAGCAAAGTGATGTTATCAATAATTTAAGGTAAGTATTAAAAAATTAAACACAGATAGTCAAACATTCCTGTCTGTTAAATACTGATGTTAAGCAAGTCCTCCACTAGAACCGGTGGTTTTAACTAGCTTCCAACACTTGAGCTGAAAGTCCAGTTGCACCAGCTTGCAGAAACAAGACTCAAATGTGTGTGTATTATGCAGCCACTAGAGGGGTACAAAGATCTACAGAGGCTTAGCATATGCCCAGCACATTTTGCAAACATGTAAACATAACTAAGCCTATAGAGATGACAGGTATATCGCCTACAACACATTTATTTCTATACTTACCCACACCTTCAGATTCATTCACACCCTTCTCGTACCTTGGACTAGACAGTACTAGAAATACTGTATTTTTCTACATATACCACTATGTGGATCTATAACTATTTCATTATGTACACACATCACTAGTATAAACAAGATTTTATCATCATACCTATCTCTTCTACTAAAGGTTTTGCTGATCTTGATTTCTTTGGTGCCAAAAGAGATGTCAGCATGTCCAGTCCCTCAAAATATTGGCCTGGAATCTCCTTAGGTAATCGAATTGTAAAAGTTCCTTAAAGGAAATTCAGAATAAAGTTACTGCATTAAAATACACAAGACAAACAAAAATGTGCATTTTCCTCTAATGAAAAAGGCTCACAGAAACTGGCACACATGCAGGTAGCACTTTATTATGCATCAATCTCTTGTGTTCCTCACCTTACTTCAAAAGTTTCACAAAAATCCAAGATTTTAATGATAAAATATGAAAAAGAGTATTTAACCGGTTGTGGTCTCTTGACTCCCATTATGTAAACAGAAACAGAATACAAGCTTTATTTTATTTTTAATCCTTCCACCAATCAAGCAACCAACAGAAGATCAGAGAAACACATTTAGCAACTCTATTATTGTCTGAAGTCAAGCACGTAATAACAGCTTTGCAAGCAGCAAATTACAGGGTTTACTGCTTTTATTTTTTTAATGAATCCATTAATTCCAGAAGGTACATATTTTATTCCAGAAATACAGTCCACCTTAAGGTGTGGAGAAAGGCTCCAAAGTCTCTCAAGACGCAGTCAAGAGACTGCCTCACGATTATCTCATTTCTACTCAGCACCACCCGCCTTCTTTGCAGGTTTACTAGACTTAATGATCTCAGTACAACATGTCTAGCCCCCACAGGGCTTGAGGAGGACTTGTACTTATTTTTTTCATTATCAGGACAGTTGTGAACATATCCTTTGTGCTTAAGGATGGCCTAAGAACAATAAATCCCGAGCAGGATTTTTTTACACTATGTAACATATGAGAAACTTTACACTTACAGTATCGTATACTTCACTGAAGTTCTACACAATTCCAGTTCAGCGAACTATAAATTATTGAAGAGTTAGCGGCATTTTTAGTGACACATATACTAGTAACATTAACCAATACCTTTGTCTGTATTATAAGATGCTTTTTCTCTGCCATCTTCTACAACTCTTGCAGGAAGTGTCAATCTGCAGGCAGAAAATGAGATGCCTCGTTGAACGCCTGACTACTTCTGCAAGTTCACATCTCGGCCTATGAAAACGTAAGGCACATTCCAGAGCAGCACAAAGGACTTCACTGCATGACTCCTTCTGATAGTAACGGACATCATGCAGTTAAATCCCTATGTACTTAAAAATCTTTTTCCCTAACTATCGGCACAAGAGATCAGCATGTGAGAGAGAGAAAATGTGTGACTCCTGGTTTCCCAGCTTGGATGAGGTCACAGCCACCACGAGAGACGATGCCCTTGGCACTACGTGCAACACCTGGAAGATTTTGCAATTTAAAATCTCTAAGCCAACCCACAGCGACAGGAGAACTCATCCAGAGTTCTTGTATTGCTTATTCAGAATAACTAATTCACTGCGTTCTACCAGTCCCCTAAAATCCCTTGTGGTCTACTAACGTACATAGGGGACAGGTGTCCAAGAACACAGGAAACAGAAAATAAGAAAGTTAATAGTTCGTCAGCTAAAGCTTCTCTTAAACACTCTGATACTGAGATTGCCTCTTACTCCTTTCCTATAGTGTAGTGGGGAGCTTGCTATCTAGAGAAAAGGTATGGTCTGCAACCTCATTTCCTACTGCCTCCACTCACATGACTTTTCTCCTCTTAGGTTATTACGAGTGCATCAAAACCCATTCTTCACCAAATACACTGTATCTGGCTCTCAAAAGGGAAAAAGAGACATTTATTCTACACAACTTACAAACACCCAGAAAATTGTTTGGCCATTTTACAATTAAAAATCTATCATAAAGTAAATTTAGAAAAGTATTTCTTTAAACTCCCTTTAACATGATTTAATGCCTAGAAACAAGGAGGCCAGATGCACAAGAACAATTCTTTGCATGAAATGAGCCGTCTGCAGTCGACAGCGTAAAAGCTGCACACGAGGAATGTTCTGAAGGGACCAAAACAAAGTTCATTCTCTACTGACTTCTATTTCTTTCATGAAGTTCAATTTTTTTTTTTAAATCCTTCCAACTACTTGCCTGAGAAAGTACGGCTTTGCATAAAATTTAAAGTCTTTCCCTTCAAAATACACGTCAAACTCTGAAGCTCTGGCATAAGGTACTTTGATTATTATTGTAAGAAAATCCGGATCCTGGGTCAGTTCAAAAGCTGGAGTTATCATGATGAATCCAGCAGGAAGAGCAATGACTGGCTGCGTGGCCCTATCAAAACAGAAAAACAAGAAAAGATTATTGTAGTTTCCAATTTACAAGAGCAAGTAGTGTCTCTTCAAAATTCTCAAAGAACAACATTTCAGATTCTCACAAAATTATCTTCTACATGCTCCAGAAGAAAACTCTCATAGCAAGAGCAACAGCACAAACCAAAAATTATCAAGAATTTGAAGGTACAACCTCTCTGCACCTTAATGAAACAATGAACGTAAATGAATGCAAACATTTGGACCCCAGGAAAGCACCTATTACATTCCACATAAAAAACTCAGTCCTAGAACTTGGCAGCGCTTTGTAACTGTTGTTTGTAACTTCACACACAGCAGATGTTAGATCTTTACAGTTCAGTAGAGAACTGATCACAAACCACTATTAGAAAATACTGAAAACCAGTAATACTTCCAAAAATTAAAGCAGTATTTTATAACTCATACACGTATTAGCCAGAATACAAGCAACAGACTCCGTACACCCCAAACACATGTGTGCAGCAAGACGCTTCTTTGCAGTGGGCTCATGGCACAAGAGCTTCTGAGCAGTTTAAACACGAGCAGTTGACACGCTCAGGGTGCCCAATGCGAACACGCTTACTGTTTTGATCAGTTTCCAGGACTTTCACCAATCTTGAAGAAGCATCCTGAAAACCCCACATTTCTTCTGAAGATTAAGTTGAAGAAAACATAAGTAATACAGTAGTTGTAAGTGAATTAAACTACCTAGAGGACATCTGGTATCTCCTCCATCAAGTGTTTTTAACAACAGTTTAGAACGATCTCTACGTATGTACATAGGCATGTGTATTTATTTAGCACAAGAGAAGGAATTTACATAGTACCATTCACCTGATCTACAACTTGTCTGGCCCTTCAATAGCTTCTAAATGCAAGTTTACTCCTCAGGTTTAACTTATTTCCCAGTTTTAAGCAGGGGCGGGGGGGCAGGGATTACACACTTTTGAAAATGAACTTCTGAAGACAAAAATATTTTTACCAAGAAAGCAAACCAGAACTATTATATGAGAAAGAGCTACTTTTCACTGACCTTCACAGTTACCTTTATTAAACATATCCCCATTCTTACAACTTCATGAGCAAGCATGGCACATTCACCATTAATAGGGCTAAATTAACAGATTACCTATTTTTCCCTATAGGTAATTCGTATGGGTCATCTACTTCAATTGACAGGTACGAAAGAAGTGAAACTCCCCATTTCACCCTGTCACTTGATTCCAGGGCAACATTCTCACCCTTTTCAGGCTGAGAAACTGCCATGTGTTTATCAAGTTGTAACTAGATGGGAAATTCCCGGCTTGACAAACACCTGCAAACCGATGTGCCTTCCTGCAGACCTTCTTCTCTACTCGCTGTCTAACACCATGGGATAAGAGGCAACAAAAACCCACTAGCCCATGTAGACCCTACAGGGATGCTACGCTAGCTGCACTTTTATCCTCCCAAACCAGACCTTCCTAACTTTTAACAGCCGCCCCAAAAAGCCAGGCCCGGCTGTTCCCTCTTTAAGCTTCCCAGCTCATCCCCCACACAAATTAATGTTCCCAAACTAACGTGGAGGTTCCCACCCAAACCCCAGGTCTCCCACAGACCACCGCCTAGGAGCTGTCGATATCCACCCCACAACACCACCATGCTCAGTCCCCAGCAGCGCTTGCCGCAACCTAAAAATCAGGTACCCCAAAACAATTAAGCTTCTCAGCCTTTTCTGGAAAAAGACCACTATGCACTAGAAAAAACAAACAAACCAGCAAGTAGAACCAAAGCCCCTGTCAGAGCACGGGGCCGGCAGGGAAAGGCACAAACGCTCCGCTTTCCCTCCAAGGCACTACAGTAAGACATCACTTCTCCCCGCCGCCCGTTAAACCCCGTCAAAGGCT